ATCGAAGCATGTTATCAAAAAACTAGTATAATTAGTAACTCAAAAGATGGCGCTGCTTAAAATTCGTTGATGTCAATTTATATTAAAAATGAAATTTTTTCCTCTAACAAAGAGTTTTTAATAAAATAATTTAGGAATTAAATTTAGATTAAATTTATGTTGATTAATTAATAAACAATTTATTAACTTTTTAGATTTTTAAATAAATAAATTTTTTTAAGGGTATAATTAGTAACTCAAAAGATGGCGCAGCTTAAAAATCGTTTAAGTCAATTTATCATAAAAATTAAAAAATGAAATTTTTTCCTTTAACAAACAACTTGGGAATTAAAATTATGTTGATTAATTAATAAACAATTTAACAACTTTTTAGATTTTTAAATAAATAATTTTTTTTAAGAGTATAATTAATAACTCAAACGATGGCGCTGCTTAAAAATCGTTTAAGTCAATTTATCCTAAAAATTAAAAATGAAATTTTTTCCTTTAACAAACAATTTGTAGTGAAATAATTTGGGAATTAACGTAAATTTATTAACTTTTTAGATTTTTAAATAAATAAATTTTTTAAGGGTGTAATTAATAACTCAAAAGATGGCGCTGCTTAAAAATCGTTTATGTCAAGCAATTTAATCCTAAAAATTAAAAATGAAGTTAATTACAAGAAAACTTTTATAACAAAAATTGTTGCAAATTTTATTGTTAACAATATTGCTCTCTTGCACTTTTGCTCTCAGATGCGTCAATATTGAGAAAAATACGAAAATTTAAAAAATTGATGAATTTGCTTGTTTTACCTAGTTAATGGTAACATTTGGGAATCGGAGTATGTTATCAAAAAACTTTTAGAACAAAAGTTGTAGCAAATTTTGTTCTTAATAATATTGCTCTCTTGTATATTTGCTCTGAGATGCGTCAATATTGAGAAAAATAGGAAAATTTAAAAAAATTGATGAATTTTCTTATTTTACTTAGCTAATGGTAATATTAGGAAATCGGAGCGTGTTAACAAAAAACTTTTATAACAAAAGTTGTAGCTAATCTTATTCTTAACAATATTGTTGTCTTGTATTTTTGCTCTCAGATGCGTCAATATTGAGAAAAATA